GGCTCCGGAAGCCGGATGGCCGTGCCCAAGCTGTCCTCGGCGGGCTCCATGTTGCAGGTTCTGATGCAGGCGGGACCAGCACGTGGAGCCGAGGGCGGAGTGGCCACTGCGGGGCCAGGTCAGCCGCGCGGGACCCGCCCCACGCGCCACCCCGCCCCGGGCGACGCGTCCAAGTTCAACCGTCACCGAACGCAGGGTGCAGGGCAAGCTTCGACCTGGGTGGCTGGAAAATGTAATCTTATTTACCCAGCAAGAATGAATCTCACAGGGTGGTGGCGGCGCACGACTTTAATCCCAGCACTCAGGGAGACAGATGCAGGCAGATCTCTATGATTTCGAGCCCAGTCTTGTCTTTAAGAGTTGGTTCCAGATCAGCTAGGGCTGTTACACAGAGAAACCCTGTCTCAAAAAAACCAACCCCCCCCCAAAAATCTCTGAGGGATGCTTTAGGTGGTCCAACTAAATCCAACCGATGAAGGGCTGAGTACCTCCGTGAGGAACGCTTGCCTATAGAGGACCCCGAGTTCCAACCCCAATCACAAAAAAAAAAAAAAAAAAAACCCCGAATAAATTGAACCGGTTTTCCTCACCATAGGTGCATTTCCTAATTTTGTTCATTTTTTGATCTTTGAAAGTTTGCGAAGTTATCAGTGTGTCCTTAACCCTTTAGAGGCTAAAAGAGTTGGGCTTATTTGTTAACGCTCCATCCTCTGGCCACCACCGGGAATTTTCTTCACTGCTCTGCAGCTCCAGAGACCTCCCTGACTACACCCTGGCAGGAGATCTGAGTTTGCTCTGATGATATTTGCTCACAAAATAATAATCTACAACCCAGAGACATAAAATGTATTTAATAGAAGTCACATGGTAAGAATGTAGGAGTTCAAACATAGGTTTCTGTCTTAGACATCAATAGGCAGAAGAAATAGGAAGTCCACACTTTATAGTGGTGGATGGACTAATATTTCACCATCATCTTCCCCATATTGTCTTAGGCCACAATATGGTGTTCACCTTAGTCTTTATTAGAAAAACATCTTGAATTCTCAGTTCATAAAACCCACGAGCACATTTGAATCATGCTAGCTCAAATGACTGACCACTGCCAGGTCTATGCATTGTCTGTAAATTCAAAGTCGCATGTGGTCCCAGACTTTCACTTTCCAAGGGCTCAACTTTACATTGGTGCAAAAGTGGCACGCGTTTACCAGAGACTATTTTGAACTGGGATCTTTTCCTGGGTTCACAAAGTATGACACCATCCTTTAGAGATGTGGGACAGTGACAGCGCGCTACAGCCCCCCAGGTGGTCCTGCAGCCTCAGGGGTGAAAAAAATCAACATTCTAGCTCGTACAGAATTTCCACACTGGTGCTTGGTAGGTTAAGTGTATTACATACATTGTCCACTCACAGTGCATGTCCCCCTTTCTCTCTCCATGTGTGTGTGTATGTGTGTATGTGTGTATATGTGTATATGTGTGAGAGAGACTCTCCATCTGTCTGTCTGTGTGTGTGTTGTGTGTCTGTGACTCTCTGTCTCTGTGTGTGTGTTTTGTGTGTGTGTGTGTTGTATGTCTGTGGCTATCTCTCTGTGTGTGGAGAGACAGACTCTCCATCTCTCCATCTCGGTGTGTTATATGTCTGTGACTCTCCATTTCTCTGTCTGTGTGTATGTGCTGTGTGTGTGTGTTGTGTGTCTGTGACTCTCTGTCTCTCTGTCTGTGTGTGTGCTGTGTGTGTGCTGTCTATCTGTGACTCTCTGTCTCTCCATCTCTGTGTGTGTTGTGTCTGTGACTCTCTGTGTGAGAAAGAGAGACTCTCCAACTCTCTGTCTCTCTCTGTTGTCTGTGACTCTCCATCTCTCTGTCTGTGTGTGTGTGTCATGTGTTTGTGATTCTCCATCTGTGTGGTATGTGTCTGTGACTCTCAGTCTCTCTGTCTCTCTTTTTCTCTATGCAGGTCTGTGTGTATTAGAGAAAAAGAGAGAGAGAAAGCTTACTTGTTAGAGGGCCCTGAACACACTAAGCATGTGTTTGTTGGTCACAGCAATTCCCCCATCCTGATGTCATATTTTCAGTGTGTGATAGACCAGTCAGGTGTTAATCTCATAAACCGGGGAGCAACTATGTGGCTTGATCTCTTGTTCTTCCACGTCACTCAACTCTGACATACACTCTCACTAAAATCCCCCCCACCAAGACTGCAACGACTCCGAGGAGCAGGAGCCCTCGCCTTAGGACCAGTTGTTTCCCAGACAGTTCATTGCTGGCCTTCGGGTGGACAGGCAAAACTTGTTGCTGGTTCATCTGCTGGTCCAGCTGAGTCTCATCTTTCTTTTCGAGATCCGTCATCATAATTTCTCCACGGCTTTCCGGACCAACTGTGGGGTTGGGGGGAGGATCTTAGTGAGCAGTGTGGAAGGACTTTTATTTTCATATATACAAATGGTGGTTATTATTTGTGATTATTTCTAGAAGAGGGTTGATTCAAGAAACAGTTGTTGTGATAGATAGCTAAATAAATAAATAAACAAACAAACAATTGTTAACTGTTAGGTAAGAGATCTTAGGGCTGTGCATCTGCTCCTATCTCGTTAAATAACTATTAATGTCCCATCAAGTTGTCATTTGTTTCAGATAAGGCCCTGCAGAGAAAACCATAACAAAGCCATCAAAATTGTCAAGCCACTCTGACTTACTCTTCTGCCTGACTCGCACTTTGCCTGCTACAGTCTCATTATACTGGCACTCTCTGTCCAGAAGTTCCTGTGCACCATTTTGTCCATGCAAGGCATGGTTTGTGCATGCTCAGAAGTGTCCCTGCCTTGACCTGTGCTAAGTCTCTCCCATAGGAATAGGCATAAGTGACTCCAATTTAATCTTTTTACTGCTTTTGTTCCAGGAGATGCTCACAGGGGACAAATACGGTACATTTGTGTTTCATTTTGTAGTCATAAATATAACTTACAAGACCACATTTGCACCCCATTCTCTAGGGTGTATGAGTGTATGCTGTCAGCAGCTTGCAAGCATGCACTGCTAATGGTTTATTTGTTCGGAGTTAACTTTCAATCTGACTGTCCTCCAAATTGGTTCTGGAGAAATGCAAGCTTCGGTGACCTTGGCCACCCTCCCCTGCTACGGAATCTCAGAGACAAGGCCAAACACCTGGCCAGGGGGCCTAGACTAAACTCTAAAATTATTTATTGCCTCTTGTGGTTTGAATAGTTCGTCACTATGTTCCCTTCCTCTCCCTTTGGAACACTAATGTATAACCTGTGCTGTTGTATGTTGGAAGTATGTGATCTGCTTTTCTGTTTTGATCTTACAGGAGATTACAGTTAAGACAATGAGTCTCAGAAGAGATCTTGGACCTTGGACTTTTAAACAGAGTTGAGACTGTGATAGACTATGGGGACTTTTGAAGTTGGACTGAATCATTTCTGCATTATGATACAGTCACAAACCTATGGGGGCCAGAGAGTGGAACATGGTGGTTTGAATGGAAAGTGGCCCCCAGGGGCTCATAGGCAGTGACACCATTAGGAGGTGAGCGCCTTGTTGGAGGAAGCATGTCACTGAGGTTCCAGAAGCTCAGGTTAGGCCCAGTGGCTCTCTCTCCCTTCCTGCTGTCTGAAAATCCAGATGCAAAACTCTCAGCCCCTCCAGTACCATGTCTATCTGAACTCTACCATGCTTCCTGCCATGACAATAATGGACTGAATCTCTGAACTGCAAGCCAACCCCCAATTAAATGTTTCCTGTATAAGAGCTGCCATAGCCATGGTGTCTGTTCACAGCAACAGAAACCCTAAGACACAGCTGTTCCCTATTCTCTGTAAACAGGCTAGTAAGAGAAGATATAGGTAGGTGGGTCTCCCCCAGGCTTCCCAGGTCTTCCAGCATGTTGAACAGAACCAACTAAGATTCAATTCCCTGTTTCTGTTTATTGTGATTAAAAACCCAAATTCCAACCCCAGTACTGCTGAGGGAGGGATTTCCAGGACACTCTTTGCTCTTATCTCTGGGTTGGGCTTACTGGCTTTGTACTTTATCAAGAAACGACTCTGGAATCATCCATGTAGAGGTGAAGATCACTCAAAGAGACACTTGTGCCCCTTCCTTCAGCCACCAGACTAGTACAACAATGATTCCCAAGATATTGGCATTTCCCCAGAAATCTCAAGCTAAGAGAAGGAGAAGGCCGAGGCCTGGCGCCACTCAGAGAGGAGCTTGCCTCCCATAGAGATTTCACAGTCCTGACAGCAAGACTGTCAGTGACAGGTCTCACCAGGACTGCACATCAAGGCATTCCTTATGCCCTCTGCTTGAACCTAAACCTCATGTCAGGACCCTGAAGGTGAAGGGGAGAGGTGTCGCTGGACCATTTTAGTTGTTCCTCTTTCCAGCGTGGCTACAATAAATACTAATGCCGTCTCTCTGCTTCCCAGCATTACTTATCTCTTCAGCTGGTCCCTTGAGGACAGGGGTGGAGCCTGGGGTAGGGCTGTGGGGGCTGCAGGGCTGTGGGGGCCCAGGCTATGACCCCTAACAATGCTGACAACAGCCCCATGTTTAGTCCATTATCTCTGAAGGCCTCTCTTCACTCCACAAACCCAGCCAGCGTGGGGAGCCAGAGAGCTTCCCAGGCTCAGGCTTTTCAAGGGGCCCGAGACCAACCTACTAGGCATTTCATACTGAAGATAAGACAGATGGAGGACAGATAAACTAAGACAGGATTCAAGGCATTCACAGAACTGAATATGGGACTTGTCATCCCCAAGGACCCACTGAGTACCAAGCAATATAATGACTCACACAAAGACTCACGTCTCATGACCTTGTGGAATGAGACAACTAACAGGGAAACACATTAGAAATTTTCCAAGAGAGAAATAAAGGCAGATTATCTAGCAGCCTAAGAAGATGGGCATCAGCTTTCTTGAAAAGTGTAAGGGTTCGTAAGTGATTGAGTATACCGTAGCTGAAATGCCTGGAAACAGAAGTATTTCATATTCCAGGGGTTTGGCTGTCAGAATGTTTCAGATTAGGGGTTTTCCACCTGTGCTAAGACTGTTACAATGGCTCAGAGTCCTGACAAAATAATTTGGAACATCATAATACAGGTTTACCAGCCACGGTGGTGCACACCTGTAGTGCCAGTTTAGGAAGTAGAGGCAGGAGGGTCAGAACGTCAAGGTCATCCCCACCTAAATGCCAATTCAAGGCTAGCCTGAGCTACATAGATCTTGTGTCAATGAAACAAAGCTAAGCAAACTTTTAAAATTGAACAATATCAGGTCACATCTACAAAATACTTTGGCTGTGTCTGCCAGTTCCTAAAACAAGCCTCACAGTAACAAGACAGGCTAAGTGTCATTATGTCCCAGATTTCACAAACTAGCCCTTCCTCTCAAAATAATTGTTAAATCAGGATAAAATGAATTAAAAAGAGCATCTTGAAGGTAGCAGAGAACTAATGATGCCAAGGAAAGTTCTCAGAGCACGCTGGGACCCTGGGGGGCAGGGCTGGCTTTGCCCTGATGGCTCCGTGTGTAGGACATGTGGCTCAGGACTAAGCAGCACCCGGTGAGGATGGGCCTGCTAAACCTCCCTGTGTCTGGGATCGAAGCCCTCACGGGCTGCATGCAGGATTTAAAGATGTCCCCGCCTCCCGCAAGTCTCAGGGTGTGTGGTCCAAGAATTTTCAACACACTTTTTAAAAGAAAAGAAATACCTGTGGAAGGCTTGTGGAAGTACCAAGTATTAGCAGAGGGCTGAAGACGTTTGACCTAGCCATAACAGTGTGTTAATGTGTGAAATCAAAGGGAATAAACGGAGGTCAGTTTATCTCCAAGTGGGTGGAACTTGACATCTGCTTCCAAAACTTTAGTGCCCTGCTTCCGTGAGAACACACAGTAGCTAACCCAGATGTGTCCCACAAACCCCTCCAGTCCTGTAGGGCCAGGTCTACCCCAGAGCTGAGTTGTAGCATACCTGGGTGAGCCAGCTCCTGAGAGACAGCAGAATTCCCATTCATGGCCACATTTACCTTCAGATTGGCATGTACTTGAGCCTAGAACAGTACGTGACACTCCAAGTTAAGTCGAGGTATCAGCAGGTAATGTTGGAAACACGGCCACCTGGTTTAGAAGCCATGTCCCTGAACTGACATGTGAGCTGAAGCTTCGCTGGGTCACTGTGGGACTCTCTTCCAAAACTGAATGGGTTCCAAGAGTGGGAGGGGAGTAGGCTAATCTGAGGGGGAGACCAACCAAGGTCGCTAAGGATTCGCCCCTCTTCATCTTCTTACTTCCGTTGCCGCTTCTGCACCCTATTTCCAGACCTCACATTGACAGTGTCTTCATACACACACACACACACACACACACACACACACACACGAATTTGGAGAAAGTCTCTCCAGTTCCAATTCTTCTCCTGAATTGGCTTTTCCCGGCAAGAGACCTGAAATGGAATCCTGTTTTCCTACTCACTAAGCAAATGCAGGGGAATGAACAGGGCCAGGATCATGAAGCCCTTCACCTCAAATCCCTATTAAAGCAACACAAGCCCAATAATAACAAGAAAAGCATAAAAATAGCATAAGAAAAAAAAAAACCTCCATAACTAAAGGAATGCACGCCACATCCGGTCTGGCTTGGCATCTTCAGAAAGACTAGGGAGCAATGAGGACGCTTACCTGTTGACAGGCGAGTTTCCAATTGAGCCGAGCAATAAAAGCCAGGAAACATACAACCTGACAGACAGTGCAGATGATGATCCCTGACCACAGACCTGTGCGGGGAGATGTTTGACAGGTTAGCTCAAGGAGACAATGGCCATACTAAGCCAGCTTCCGTGGGCAAGACAGAGCCCACAGTGGGCTAGAGACCTGAAGAGACCAGCACTCGCTGAGACCACCTACCATGATTCACAACGTCAGCGCAACAGCTTGAGGAGGCTATTTGGGTCCTTTTTGCTTATGGTGACAGGATATTAAGAAATGGGCCAGATGTAAGAAAATACTTTTTCAGAAAAATCACTGCTTTGTGCTCCTCAAAAGAGGAGAGTAACTTCTTAATTTGCATATGTATGTATGTGGCCTACACATGTGTGTGTGTGTTTGCATGTGTGTGTGTGTTTGCATGTGTGTGGACATGTGGGGAAGGTACACATGCATGTGTTTGCATAATTGTGGAGGCTTGAGGTTGATGTCAGGCATCTTCCTTGATTGCTTTCCACTTATATAATGAGACAGGGGCTATCTCCACCTTATATAATGAGGCAGGGGCTCTCTCCACCTTATATAATGAGGCAGGGGCTCCCTCCACCTTATATAATGAGGCAGGGGCTCCCTCCACCTTAAATAGTGAGCTGCGTCTCTCACTGAATCCAGAGCTCACTGTTCTGGCAATCCGACTACGCAGCTTATTCTGGGGGTTTCCCTGACTTTGCCTCCCTATACTGGTATTACTTAGTTTTATACCCAGCCAGCTTTTTACCTGGGCTCTGGGGATTCAAACACCAGTTGTGTGGAAGGCACTTTACCTGCTGGGCCATCTTGTCAACTAAAACTAACATTTCTATGGCCAATAAGTGAGATTAAATATTTCATTTTTAGTTTGGATGTTTCTTGTAGAGGCTTTTGATTTTGAAATTAATTATTATGTGTGGCTGTCAGCTAAAAAAGGTAGCAAAACAGAACACCAAACTTCTCATTAAAAACATCCCTGGAAGGAGAAATGATATAATAATAATCTCAAAAAAATTAAAATATAATTTAAAAATCCCTAAAGTTTATGTACATTCTTGATAACTAAAAGGGAAACAGACTACTGGGGATGGAACCCAGGGCCTCGTATGTGCCTGGCACGCATTCCGTACTGAACTACATCTCATTGGAAAGGACCATCTTAGAAATCAACCTCTACATTCCCAAACTCTGCCTGTAAGACCCTGCTCCTGCCTTACATGGATATGGAGATGTGTGGAGTAGTAGAGGGGATTAAACCAGAATCCACCCATCTTTTATCATTGTTTGTTTTGTTTGAGACAGGGACTCACTCTGTAGCCCTGGCTGGCCTGGTATTCACTCTGTAGGTCAGACTGACCTCAGACTTACAAAGACCCGCTTGCCTCTGCCTCCCCAGTGCTGAGACTAAAGATGTATGCCACCACACCTGGCAGAAATCACCAATCTTAAAAATCCCCCAGAGAATTCTGCTCAACCTTCAAACCTAACTTTGTTTAGATACAAACTTTGCTCCCACCATGGGTTACACTGTAGGAAGGATTGGGGAGCACACAGAGCAGATCCCGAGGTCCTGGTGAGGCTATCTAATAAACTTGCATGGAGGAGGGGGGTATGAGGAACCACAGGTGATGAGCCGTTTGTCCACAGTGAACAAGCAGCAGAACCAAAGCTCTGCCACTCAGGAAGCGCCGAGCACACAATCAGTCGCATAGCACAGCACATGAGACTCCAGCTCTGGAACCCATTGCTGCAGCAACCAGCCTGGAAGGGGAGCTCGGCCCCATGACACAGCCCAGGAAGCCTGCCTGCTAGAAGCTGCCCTTGCAGAGAGCCAGGTTACGACCACTAGAAAGCTAAACGGTGACTGTGACCAGCAACTGACAATCTCACTCATCTAGACCATAGTCAAATATGAAACCTTAAGCAAACACACAAGGCCACGTCTTTTCGGCTGCTTTCAGTCAGGACACACCTGAACCACCCTCCTCCTCCATGATGCTCTCCCAACTCCTCTACTTGCCTTTCAGCTCTCTGCCAAGACAAAGAGGGGGAGGGGCCGAGTCCCTCGCATAACAGGATCCGAATGCATAGACTTTGCTCTCCGATCAGATCCACAGAAGGGCTGAGCATAAACCCCAGTCTTGGTTCAAAGGCTTATCTCTACTCTGGTCAGGTTGACAGCTCCACTCCTTGGTGCCAACTGCCCCACATCTCATTTATCAAGAATGATCGATTAGTCTGCTCTTCACAAGAGTAAAGTCAGTGACGACCAGTCAGTCCCAGGATGGAGTAAGAAAGGCTTCTTGCTTCAATCACCCAGTTCCTACAGAGAAACTACAAAGCTCATTCCAAAGATTTTTGACAGAAATACCCAGCTAGCTCTAGCTGTAATCTGAGTTATGAACTATTTCCACGAATATCATAATGCCTATTAACAGATACAGAGTGATTATCAGAACCCTCTGGGCAGGGCCAGGAATGTGTGTCTGAAAACCGCTGGGGGAAGCTGATAGCTGATAGCTGGTCTGATTAGTTGCTCTGCCTGTGGGAGCCCGCAGCCTTCAAGGAGCTTCCAGGAACCTCTTGGACACACCGCACACCCTCATGGTGGCGACATGAAGGGTGAGGCCAACATATATGGCACTTCCACCTAAGAAGCCATTAGAAGGACCAAGTACATGCTCTCCCACAGCCCTCACCTCCCCAGGGTCCCATCATTTCTCTCCAAGAATTCCTAGTTACCTCCACTTTGCCCACAGCACTTCGTAGAAGAGTTAAAAGGGCCAAATACAGCCTTGGGATATGGATATGTCTACATTTAAAGTTGGTTCCTTTCTAAAGTTTAACTCAGCCAGACATGGGGACACACACCTGTAATCCCAGCACTTGGGAGGCTAAACAGGAGGATCTCATGTTTAAGGCCTGCTTGGACTACAAAGGAAGCCGCTTCCTAAAATAAAGACAAGAAAAAAACAGCAACAACAAAGCAAAGTTGAACATAGTTGGATGTGCTGATGTATGTCCTGAATCCCTGTACTCTGGAGACAGAGGCAAGTGGATCTCTGTGAGATTAGAGCCAGCCTGGTCTACAGAGGGAGTTCCAGCCTAGCCAAAGTTATATAATCAAACTGTCTAAAAAAAAAGAGTGAATTCCAGATGCAGCATTCACTATAAACGATGACGTCACAGGAAGATGGGTAACCTAATGACTTAACATAAACAGGTCACGTTGTCTGCATACAGCAAAACAGCAACTTTGTACTCCATAAATGCTCATAATTGTGTTTATCGATTAAAATAATATTAATAAAAATATGAAAGAGACTATGAAGTGTCTCCTTAGTATTTTGTACTGATTGCATGTTACAGTAATAATATTTTAGAAGCATTGTGTTAAATAAAAATACTATTCCAAAAACTAGACTCCTTCGGTGTTTCCATTGGCTCTGTCATCGGCAGATCCAAGCCATAAACAGTGCCAGAAACTCGGCCAAACATTATCTGTGCCTTCATCGCCACGGAGCTCTGGCACTCTCCTTCTTGAACAACTCCAATATTTTTAATTAAAATATTATTGAACTTGAGAAAAAGGAGTGACATAGTTAACTACATGGGACTGGAAATCCGCGGCAGCTATCGGATGACTCCTGGGCTCCTCCGAGCCCACCACATACTGATGGACTCAAACAAACCATGCGTAAATCCGTCATTCCTTTACCCCAAAGACAACAGTTGGGTTTTCATCTAACCATTTATTCATTGCCAATGCATTCTCAGTTATTATCTTAGAAACCAAAGCTGGACAGTTATCTATTTCCCTACTTTAAAAAAAAAAAAAAAAAGAATTAGAAGAAGATGAACCCTGGTCATTTCGGAGATGTGGGTTCAGCTCCAAGGTCATCCAGAGGAGTCTGCCCCACCATCCCTCGCTCTACATTCCTCCCATGTGTCCCTCTGCAGGGACATGTGAGATACATGGATGACGACAGCAGGGGGGGAATAGAGGCTGCAGAAGGGGGCAAAGGTGACAAGGAGCCCACCACCAGCCCTGCCCTCTGAGTACACGGGGTGCTGGTCCAGGAAGTTCTGTGTCCACCCCCAATCATCTTAACCAGGGCTTGCCCCACATCACCCCAAACCCCTCAATATAGCAGAATAAGGCCTCGGTACTGTGTTATCATACCAGGGGCTTCACAGTACTATGGACCCTCATTAAAGGAACAAGGCAAGATCTACATTACAACATGCTTTCTAGTGCTTCAGAGACCCTGGTCATCAAGTCCTAAGGACTGGCTGATCCAGCAGGAGAATAGAAAGGACACTTTACTGTGTTCCAGTGTTGACACATGGGCAAGTGACACATGACAAGAGGGGAGTGACCAGGCAGCTCTGGACTCACGGCCACTTTTCACCCCCGCCTGCGCACGCACTCACGCTCTGACGAGATACAGGAGTGTAGGGGAGTCAGGGTAAGCAGTGACGTTTCCGTGTACCTGGCCATCACCCCTTGGGTCTGTGGACAGCTGGCCTGTCTTCCCACAGGCAGGCTTACCTATCACGCCCAGCTTGGCTGCGAACATCAGTGCAATCCCGATGGGGAGGCCAATCACGTAATACCCGATGGCGTTAACGATGGCTCCAACCTTCTGGTTTCCCGTGCCCCTCAGCACACCACCACAGGTACACTGTGGGCAGGGGACATCCATCAGTGTGAACACAGCTGGTTCTGCTAAAGACCCCACCTCGCAAGCCTAGAGAGCCTCTCCTGTGGTCCTCAGACTTGAACATGACTTTGCGATAATGCTTTGTAGAAGCGGCCATGATAACAATCAACAGTAGCCCCTAGACCACTCTGGCCCTTCTTCCCACTTGAAATTTAGTGTAATCAGAAGAAATCGCTGATGGAGACCGTGGAAGTGGGCAGGGAAGTCAGGCTAGATACTCACAGCAAGACTTTCAAAGAGGTGGGACACAGCATAAATGGGGACCACTTGCGCCACCAAGGCCACGATGTCTCTGTCGGGGAAAACAGAGTACAAGGTAATTAGCGAGAAAGGAAGGGCCGGAGAGAGGGCTCAGTGGTTAAGCGCACTTGTTCTTGCAGAGGATCCAGGTTCAATTCCCAGCACCCACACGACAGGTTACAACTGCCTCTGACTCCAGTTCCAACGGGTTCAAGAGCTTCTTCTGGTTTCCATGGGCACCAGACATGTATGCAGCACACAGACACATGTGCAGGCAAACATCCAAAAGCATAAAAAAGAAAAAAGTATCAAAGGGCATGGACCCCAGGAGAGGAGGCCCCACATGTACCCTAGCTCAACAAGGCTTGGGCTCTTTGTCTAGCTGCCTCGGTGAACTCACACCAGGGGTGACAAGTGGGGACGAGTCTACTGCTGTGTGATACACATCAGAAACCAATTTCCTAATTTAGTTCATGGCTTTTAGTCAATATAAACCAATGAAAAGATTTAGTACCCATCTACCCACTGAAAACAAAGCTGGGATCACACTGCCGCCCTCCTGCTAACCCAGTCCCTGAGGCAGATCTTGAACGCACATCTCAAGAGCTGTCTGAGTGACACATGACAGAGCAAGCACACACGTGCTGTCTGCATGGAGTGCGGCTTCACAGCAGAGCATCTGCCTAGCATGCGTGAGGCCTGCCTTTGGCCCTGGCACCATCAAACAATAAATGATCTTCCCAGTCAAGCAAGTTTGGTAAGACTCCCAAAAGTATTCTGGGGTTCTCATTTCTAGAAATGGGATCTACCCTTAATGCTACGGATTTGAATTTTAATGCCTGCACATTAAGGGAAAGAAAAGAAATGCTACCAGGAGAAGCACCCTCAGAGGCACTGATTGGGACAAAAAAAAAAACTGTCTAGATTGAATATTTGCTGAGCGAATGAGTAAGGAATCCAGCATAGGATTGGGTGGTTGCTTTCTTCCCGCAAGCCAGCACAGGGACACAGCTGTTTGTTAAAGTGTTGAATGAGAAGTATATGCAAACAGGTCCGATGGCCACTGTCTCCCGGGCCACACCATGACTGCCCTGTCCCCATATTCTTACCACTCCTGTGTTTGCTGGATGCTTATGAGAATAGAAGCAAACACAAACGGCTATGAGAGATTCCCCTGGCACACACACGTGCCCTCCTCGTGATGCCTGCTCCACTTTTTCTCCCTGACAGTCTCTCTTCTAGTGCACCGAAATGAACTTTCAGTGCGGAGCTGCTTGAACCTGTTTACTAAAGTATCGTCTTGAATTTTAATTTATTTTCTTTCTTTCCTATCTTGGGGTCAGGGGGAGAGGCGATGCACGTACTAAATATACGCCCTCCCACTGAGCCACACACCCAGGCGCTTTCCTTGGATTTTTAAATAGATAAGTAACTCATTTTTGCAGGACTAAAGGTCAAGTCAAACCAGGGTTTCACGTTTATAAAGCACTGAGCTGTATCTCCAGCCCGATTTGTGGTTTTTAAATCAGTTTTGGTGACTGGGAACAGCCTGGTTTCATGTGTGTGTGTGTGTGTGTGTGTGTGTATACCATCAGATTCGGGTGCTCTGGCGACCCATTTGCTTCACAAGAAATCCAGTTTCCTTTTCTGTGCTTTGAAAGATTAAACATCATTAGGAAGATCTATATTTTAATAATTTGAAAACTTTCTCCCTTGGAATCTTCTGGAATCAGTGATTCAGTGATTCCTTTTTTTGGCATTTTCAAACAAGTTCCCTTTCTTACAAGGGGACCACTTTATTTAGATCTTTAGTCTTTTCTAGAGCAAATTTTGATCAACTATTTTCTAGAGAATTACTTCTTTTTTGTGTTTTTTTTATTGTCCTTATTTTATTCTGTTTATTGACACAGGGCCTCACTATGTAGCCCAGGCTAACCTGAAGCCTGTTATCCTCCTGCCTCAGTATCCTGAGTGGGGGAATTACAGGCATGTGAAACTGTGCCTGACTTTGTTCTTCTAAGTTTTAATTTTTCCTTACAAAAAGAGATTGTGAGAACTAATCTCTTAGGATTTTTTTTTTGAATGACCATGTTTGTGTGTGTCTCCCTGCCTATCAGCTGCAAAATTTACCCTAGAAAAGACTGAAAATGATTCCCTTGTAAGAAGTAAGAGAAACTTGCTTTCAAATGCCCTTCTGGTGAGAGTTACAGAACTGCCACTGGGACCATATGCTTGGCTGGGTACAGGGGCAGAGGGAGGGGAGAAGGAGGGCACCAGAGCCTGGGCTGTGTCCCACCAGGAGATCGATTAGGTTTACCCTTCTCTTTGTGCTCTCTTCATGTGAGGCAGGATTTCACCTGTTTCATTTATTCTGCCAGTTTAAGTTAGCCTTGCACACAGAATGGCAGAGATACAATCCGAGAAATGCCTTCTTATCCAATTTCATCACTATGTGACATCACAGAATGAGGTCACCCAAACCTAGATGGCTTAGCTTGCTACTCAGGGACTGGGTCTGTCTGTCTGTCTGTCTTTCTGTTGCAGATTGCTGCTCCTAGGGCCTGACAAGCAAAATGATATGAAATCCAACACGAGAGAAAACGATGGGATTGAGGGACATGGTGCATGCATGTCACAGAGTCGCTGAGGGAACAGTAGGCCGAGCAATGCGCTACAGCAAACCTTGTATACATAGGAAGAATATGCTGTATGTGATTAAAGGTGCAGGGGAGGGGAGGTGAATATGATCGAAGCATACTATATACATATATGAAAACACAATAATCAAATGTAGTTTTAGTTGCTCATTATTATTCTTTGTGCACAGGTATTGCCGGCACACACGTGTCTGTGTAGCACATGTGTAACTGGTGTGCCCTTGGAGGCCAGAAGAGGACCTAAGATTCTCTGAACTAGAGTTCCAGATGGTTGTGAGCAGCTAGGTGACTGCTGGGAACTGAACCTAAGGCCTCTGGAAGCCAGCACTCTTAACTGCTGAGCCATCTCTCCAACCCCTAAATGCATTTTTTCTTCTTTCACTGTGTCCAGGTTTCTTTATTTAAGAACGGAGTGATGAGTGATATGGACTCAAAATCAAGAGCATCGCTGAGCTTCGTTTTCCTGCCAACCACCTTCTCCCACCCTCCCGGCCCCACCCTCGTGCTTCCAATCACTGCTCAGTAAATGAAGAGCCTGATCCGCCTGCTGGTCGGATACACTCCAAGCTCTATTCCCTGCCTCACCCAGACCTTCTCCCCTCTGCCCCATCCCTAGGCAGGGCCGGCCCCTCAGACTGGATGTGCGGAAGAGCTCAGAGCAACAAGAGGGACTAAAGAGCTGAGCATGGTAAAGTGGAGGCTCCCGCAGCCTGGGGTACCAAAACAGGGTTCTGGGAACAGAAGAAAGGATACAGGGCCCCTAGGAAAAGAGACTCTGTGGCCTAACTCCTTTCTTTGGGAATAGTCAATGCTGGATTGTTTGCCCTGCTGGTGAGGGTCACAGAACCTCCCAGAACCTCACCCTTCTCTAGGCAAGTTCCTAGGTAAGGGTGGTCTGCCGTAGGAGCGTGAGGCCTTCAGGTTCCCTCTCACTTGGTTCCCAATGCTTTGCTCTTTCTTGTGGGCCTGCACCAGGGTCTGTCCTTTGCCTATCTCTTGAAGCTTCTTGTTGGCTTCCTCCGGCCACTCCTTCAGCAGGGAGCGGGGCCTAACCCGAGTTCTTGAAACTGACCTGGCTGGATGCCTTTTTAAAGAGAATCCCCAGGGTGACCCCATACTGGCCCAAGTAGCACGATCCTCTCCTCCAGAAGCTTAGAGGATTGTTCCAGTTCTTTCTTCAGAGGCTTTACACCCCAAATTCCTAGATGGGGAGAGGACGGCTTGCTGGGCTGTCTCTACTCTGACAGCCCCCAGTGGGCAGTACAGTGCCAGCTCCTGTTGGACCACCCGGCCGCATGGTCTCCAGGCCAACCTGGGTCACTAGGCCTACTCCAACCTGAAATCCACAAGAAGTCTCACATACCTCTGAGCCTGGCCCAACCCCCAATCTGATTCCATGTCCATCCTTTGAGAAAGAAAAACAGAGCTATTTATGGTCGCCTTGCTCCCCGCCCTGAAGTGAGTAGTCTGTGAAAGGAACCATCAGCCTACCACCCAGAGACAAAAGAGAAGCAGGCGAGGAGGAAACTGAGGCAGCCATGTCTATTCCGAATAGACGCTTTCACTTTCTGAATCCACAAAGGAAAAGCCAGTTTGCAATTTGTGACTACTGACAAAGGAATCCCAAACATCAAGTGCCTCTACGACATTTCCATACAGTAAGAACATCCAGCTCGCCTTCCTGAGGAGGAAGAAACCCTGCAGAGCGCAGAATGCGTTTGTTTGTCTCTTCGGCCATCAGTTCAGTGTCATGATCTCTAAATCAGTCACTGATGAGATGTTTTATCTTTAATCTCTGTGACAAATAGATTCTAAAACTCTAAAAACCAGACAGTTTGGCAGATCTGAGGCACCTAGGTAGCCGGGCGATGGTGGCACACTCCTTTAATCCCAGCACTTGGGAGGCAGAGACAGGCAGATCTCTGTGAGTTTGAGGCCAGCCTGGTCTACAAGAGCTAGTTCCAGGACAGGCTCCAAAGCTACAGAGAAACCCTCTCT